ACGCTCGTGCGGCGATGCCCTGAAGTCAGTCCCACGCAACTCCGACGTGATTCCGACGTGGTCCGACGCGAACCCGACGTGAATCCGACGTGTATCCGACGCGAGTCGGGTCCCAAGTTGCCGCGCGAGGCCTCCTCCTGCTCCTCCTCCGCCTCCTCCTCCTCCTCCTCCTCCTCCTCCTCCGCCTCCTCCTCCTCCTCCGCCTCCTCCTCCTCCTCCTCCTCTCCTCCGCCTCCTCCTCCTCCTCCTCCTCCTCCTCCTCCTCCGCCTCCTCCGCCTCCTCCTCCTCCTCCTCCTCCAGGATTTTCTTCCTAACTCAGCACGCGCCCGCCCGCGAGGGCGCGGAGGCCTCCTTTCCCTGCGGCCTGGACCAGGTGACTCGGCCCGCAGGCCGGAGGAGGCTCCGAGGCATCGGCTTCGGACCGCAGCGACGGGGGCCGTGCGGCGAGGTCCTCCTGGGACTCCGAGGCCTCCAGGCGGCCTCCTCCTCCTCCTGCTCCTCCTCCTCCTCGACCTCCTCCTCCTCCTCCTCCTCCTCCTGCCTCCTCCCCTCGACCTCCTCCTCCTCCTCCTCCTCCTCCTCCTCCTCCTCCTCCTCCTCCTCCCTATGTTATGCTCATGCCGTTTCTCACCGTCCACCAAGCCACCCCCACCCAACCCGAAGGCCCCAAGTGGACCTCCATTCCCAGTTCGGGGGGGTGGGGCGGCGCCCGGGAACACACCGAAGAAACACGTGTGGAGCCCGTGCACCCCCCTTCCAAATCCGAATGCTGTGGGTCTTCGGGGGGTGTAGTTGGGGGGTGGTCTGCTACTGCAGGTAGTCAGTTTGTTCTCCCCCCAGATCCTGGGCCCCGTGCAGCATTCTCCGGGACGGGGTCCAGATCCTGTCCTTTCCCTCCTTTCTTACTTGTTAGCAGTATCGTAATTCAATGAGGCATAGAATGATGCTTCATATCGCGCGTGAGTATGTTCAAGGGAGGGCTCATTTGGTGCCCAGTCTGATTGGTATCATGGCGCCAGCACGGCGCCGACGCAGGTCTGCGGCACCGTGCTTCTCTGGCTTTTAACATACCTGTCTGCTCAACTTCGGCCACGATGCTTCGTGTGCCCATGCATGTCGCGTGAAGCGTCCCAAGTGCTGGCGCCGTGCAGCGTGGACCCGCACCTTGGTTCACCCCGAAATAAACACTGAACGTGGTTCAATCATCGCCTTCGTCTCCCTCCTGATCCTCTTCACTATGCTCATGCTCCTCGTCCTCCCTGTCTCAACCCCTCCTCACGAAGGTGGATAACAATTGGTGCTGCGTTGGAAAGGAACTTATGCAGTTTACGCGTGTGCCACGTGCTCGCAATCCGAAGAAGTCCTGGCGCCGGACGCGTGGCCGGGCGCCAGGATACTGGCGTGCGGACCCGTGGGCGGTTGTGTACAAGCGACATGCAACATACAATCGCTTAGTATTAGGCCAGGATCCTTTTGCTTTCCGCCACAAGGGAAACCCTTTGCATTCTGCCACATGGGGGATTTTGGTTAGTATTACGCCACAAAACAAATCCTCTTGTTATCCGCCACAGAAGGGTTCTTTCTGTACTTCGTCACAAAAAGAATGCTTCTGCATCCTGCCACATATCGAATCTAGCTGTATTCCGCCACAGTGGGGGCTCCTTTTGTTTTCGGCCACGCACGGACTCCTTTCAGATTCCGCCACATAAGGAATCCCGAGGTAATCAACCACATAACGATTCCTCTTGTATTCTGCCACACACAGAACCCCTCTCGTAATCCACCGCAAGAGGAGTCCCTTAGTATTCCGCAACAAAGCGAAACCTTTTCTGTTGTCTGCCACAACGGGGATCCTAGTGCATCCCGCCGCAAGGCGAACCTCTTTGTGTTCGGCAGCATGTTGGATTCTGTTTGCATTCCGCCACATAAGGAATTCTTTTGGTAATCGGCCAAATGAGGATTATGTTCGTATGCCCCCACCACACAAATCCACCACAGAAGGACTTCCCCCTCAGTATTCCGCCACAAACGGAATCATGTTTGGTATTCTGCCATACATGCAATCCGATTGCATTCCGCCGCGACGGTGGTCCTTTTGCACTATGCAGCACAGGACTTCTTGACGCTTCGCGTATCCCCACCAGCCGCCGCCCCGGCGCCGGCCGCGGCCCGCGCGCGCGTCCGGCCAATTAGTTTCGGCCGCAGCCCGACCGTTATTCGCCGCCGTTGGCGCTTCCGCCCGCGGCTGTAAAAAAAACGTAAACAAAAATATCCCCACCAGCAGTCAGCAGCCCCTGGTTGTCAGCAGTGCGTCTGCAGCTTGATTGCACGTTTGCAGCCCCTGGCAGTTTGCAGCCCTGCCCCCTCCTTCGGCCACCTCCTGGTCTCGGCCTGAGTTGCGGTGGTAGGCCTGTCCGTGCCAGGTAAGGCGGCAGCCTGCACGCCCTCAACCCGCCGGCCTGTCCGCCGTGGTGGTGCTTGAGGCCTCGCCGGCTTTAGGTAATTCGTCTTTGCGCGGCCTGCTCTGACCTGACTCGCCGCTGTTGCGCTCTCGCTCGCGGCTGTTCACAAAAAAGTATCCCCACCAGCCCATCCAGAAACGATCAGCAGGGGAATTGGTGAATCGGGGGCGGCAGGACGCATGCAGTCGCGCAGCCGTCTTCGGAAAAAAACAAGGATCACACATAGCTTCCCGCATTGAAATTTAAGATGGAAATCCGTGCGAGCTACAATGGTGCTTCAATGAGGGGTGAGGGGTGCTTCGATGACTCACAATGACTGTTGCACTGATTTGTATCTTAACCTCGCGTGCGTTTCGAAACTTGGAGCCATCTTGGGGCTCTCTTGGGGTTTTCTTGGGGCCCTGTTGGGGCCATCCTGGAGTTCTTTCTTGGGGCTCTCTCGAGGGGCCTCTTAGGGCCTTCTTGGAGACCTCTTGGGGCTCTTTTGGGGCGTCTTGGGGCCCTTTTGGGGCTCTTTCGGTGGGTCTGGGGGCCTTCCTGGGGCTCTTCTGGGATGCCTGGGGGGCCTCTTGGGGCCGTCTTGGACCCTTTCGCAAAAAAAGAGGGGCGTCCTTAATTCGGACCCCCCGTCGGAGGCTCAAAAGTGCCGTCCTGGGACCCTCTTGGCCCGTTTTTGGAGCGCTCTGGGGGCTGCCTCGGGGCCCTTTTGGACCCCTCGTGGGGCTATCTTGGACAGTCTTTTGGGGCCATCTTGAGGCTTCAAGAGCCCATCGGAGGCGAAAAAGCGAAAAGGCAAACAACATTGATTGTCCCTCAGGGTTTGACGGATTTGGGCCTCTTGGGGGGGTCCTCGGAGGCCTCGGACAGCACTTGAAACCGTCTTGGGGCCGTCCTGAAGCCTCTTGGACTTGTTGCACCCGTATAGCCCTGAATCCTTCCAAAACACCATTTTTGGTACGCTGATCATGGGAATCCGTGGAACTCTTGCAATCTGTTGAAACGAATGTGCGCGGCGCCAAGGGGAAAACCACATTTTGAAAACCACCCTCCCTCAATCTGTGAAGCTCTTGCCATGTTTGAAGACGAATGTGCGCGGCGCTGAGGCGAGAGCCACATTTTGAAACCACCCGCCCTCCACCTGTGAAGCTCTTGCACATATTGAAAACGAATGTGCGTGGCGCTAAGGCGAGAGCCACATTTTGAAAACCAGCCGCCCTCAATCCGTGAAGCTCTTGCAATGTTTGAAAACGAATGTGCGCGGTGCTAAGGCGAGAGCCACATTTTGAAATCCATCCGCCCTCAATCCGTGAAGCCCTTGCAAATGTTGGAAAGTAATTTGCGCAGCACTTAGGCGGCAGCCACATTTTGAAAACATCCGTGAAACTCTTGCAAATGTTTGAAATGAATGCGCGCCGCGCTAAGGTGAGAGCCGCATGTTGAAAACCACCCGCCCTCAATCCGTGAAGCCCTTGCAAATTTTGAAAGCGAATGTGCGCGGCGCTAAGGCGAGAGCCACATGTTGAAAACCACCCGCCCTCCATATGTGAAGCTGCTGTCACTTTTTCAGCTTCAGGGTCATAAGTGGTGAGGGAGTTTCAGGCGAAACGCCCGGCCCTAAAAACTGGCTTCGGGGTGCGACAGGGAGGAGTTATGCATAAGTAGAAGGTTTGGAGGAGGAGGAGGAGGAAGAGGAGGAGGAGGAGGAAAAGGAGGAGGAGGAGGAGGAAGAGGAGGAGGAGGAAGAGGAGAGGAGGAGGAGAAGCAGGACGACGACGATAATAATGATGAGAATCATGGCAAGGAAGGGGGAGGGGGGAGAGGATGGAGGGAGAGACAACAAGGGAGGCAAGAGAGGTGCGCGCCGTATCCCATTCTGGCCGCGTTTTCTTTCACGGCGATGCCGACGAAAACACGTACATACTGGAAGGCAAGATGCCGACTCTGAACTACTTGTTTTATGATGGACGGAGTGGAAAGGCACATGATGTGGCGGATACTGGTGCGAAAACCGGGGGGTGGGGGGGGCCGAGTGGACATTTCCAGAGGTTTCGTTTCTTTCTTGGCGCCCCTACCCTCCCCCTCGTCTCCTTCTCCGCCTCCTCCTCATTCTCCTCCTCCCCCCTCCTGCTCTTTCCCTCTCCCTCCCCTCCTCCGACGACGACCACGGCGATCTTGGCTCCGACTCCACGACGACTCCGCGATGACGACAACTCCACGACGACAACGACGACAGACTCCGACAGACTCCGACGACGACGACGACGACGACGACGACGACGACGACGGCGATTGCTGCACGACGAAGACGACGGCAGCGGCGGCAGCGGCGGCAGCGGCGGCAGAGCCCGCGGCGGCAGCGCCCGCGGCGCACGCCGCGGCAGCAGCGGCGGCGTCCGCGTCGCCCGCGGCGCCCGCGGCGACGTCCACGGCGGCAGCGGCGGCAGCGGTTGGCGGCGGCGGCAGCGCCCGCGGCGCCCGCGGCAGCAGCGGCGGCGACCACCCGCGGCAGGCGCCGGCCGGGCCGCGGCCCGCGCGGCCGCTGCCGGAGTTGCCCCGCCGGCAGCTGCTGCCGGCCTCGGCCGACGTCGCTGCGGCGGCCCGCGAGGACCGCGGCCTCGGCCGGGCCGTGGGCCGGCGGCGGCCGGCAGCGAAGCGCCCGCCGCTCGCTCAAGCAGTGGCGAAGCGTCTTGGCGTGCCTTCCCAGACCCCCTCGAGTCATGAAGAAATCACGACGGGAGGTTTTTCATTATTTTTGGCCTTTGGGGGCCCTTACCGGCCCTCGGGACCGTCAAAAAACGACTCAGGACGAAAAACCGGTCCCGGGGAATGGGTCGAGACCTCGGGGGGTCGACGTCATGAAAAAATCATGACGTCGGGGGTCTGGGTTTAGCCCCACCAAACCAGGTTCTAAGAACCTTTTGTGGTTCCCACGAAATGTTGTTAGATCATTTCTGGCTGGGGCTGTCTTGTTTCATCACAGCGGGCTTTATGTTCTAAGAACACTGTTTTCGCTCTTAGAACAGATTTCCCAGAGGGTCGTGGCCCCCATGTCATAGGCACGGTACCCATGAGTTGTTATGTACCCATGATGTTTGCATGTAAGCGCGTGGGTCCTATATATTGAGCACGCGGGATTACCGATGCTGATTCCGAGGCAGTGGCCCCGAGCATCTATGTTATAGGCACATTTATATGTATATATATATATATATATGTATATACATACATGTATTTATATATATATATATGCAATATATACACACGTATATTCTGTACATACATATATATATATATATACACATACATATGTAGTTTACAGCCATTGTGGCCCAGGCATATTTCATGGGAATCACCCGCAGAGGGATGCCCCCGAAGGGGGCCATCGCTTCCAGGGATGTCGCGGGCATGCAGGCAGCCCTGACGCCCTTCGCGGCCGCGCCGCCGATCGTGAAGGATTGCTCTCCTTCTCGTTTCTCTTTCTTCTGTCTGAACCTCGCCCCTCCCCCCCGCCCCCGCAAAGTTCGCGAACACGGTGAAGGCCAAGCATGCCGCGATAAGGGAGCACAAAGAGCTGCTGGTGGCGCTGTGCAAGGCGCGCAGCTGGAGGGGGACTGGGATCGAGGAAAGAAGCTAGGCATGAGAGAGGAAACGACACACGCACACACACACACACACGCACACACACACTCACACACACACACACACACACACGCGCGCACACACACACACACGCACACGCACGCACGCACACGCACGCGCACACGCACACGCGCGCGCACGCACACGCACACGCACACGCACACGCACACGCGCACGATCACACACACACACACGCACACACCCCCACACACAGACACACGCACACACACGAGACAGGTGGACGACAAGCTGTACTTCGCGAAGCCCTGCGTGGCCAAGGCCGTGGGGAAGGTGGCGGTCGACATGGCGTGGCAGGCCACGCGGGGGCGATGACCCGAGGAGGAATATGGAGGAGGAGGAGGAGGAGGGAGGAAACGTAGGAGTAGGGGTACTATAGTAGGAGTAGGGCTAGGTATATAGGAGTGGTATATCCATATATATATATATATATGTATATATATATGTAGCATCGGGTCTATAGGAGCAGCGCGGCGGGGGGGGATCCATGACCTGCGGCTGGGGCCAGCCCAGGTGGAGAAGACAGAGGCCAAGGAGATGCAGCAGAAGATCGCCGAACGCATCATGGGTCTATGCCAGGACACGGCCTCCATCTCGGATACATATACATGTAGACGTACGTGTACATATATATAAATATATGTACACATCTACATCTACAACCACATCTACGTCTACATCTACATCTGCGTCTATACATCTACGCAAGTATGTATATCTACATGAAAACATGTATACGCATATATATATATGTATATATATGTACATATCACCCCTCTCCTCGACGCTGGCCCCCCCTCCCCGAGGAGGTGGCGAGACGGGCGCGGAGGAACAGGATGTCGGCGGCTGATCTCCTCCAGCAGGCCGCTCTCCTCTTCTGGCTGCTCCTTCGACTCGCCCTCAGCCCCCCTTTCTCCCCGTCCACGTCCTCTTCCGACTTACTGGTGATGATGGTGATGAGGATGGTGATGATGATGCTCATCATCATCCTCATCGTCGTCATCGTCATCTTCATCAGCATCATCATCCATCTCCTCGTCCGACGTTTCTTTCTGACTCATCTTCTTCGCTCCCTCGTTTCCTGCCTCGTTGCGCTTCCTTCGCTCATCTTCGCTAGCCAACTGCGCGGGCGGTCATTCTCCTCGCTTCCCCCCCCTAGGCCGCCGACAACGACGACGACTCGGTCGACGTAGCGCTGGCCGACAGCTTGTTGGAGGCCGCCTTCGACGACCCCGAGGGCGACGAGGGCGCAGAGGAGGAGGAGGACGCCGCCGAGGGCGACGAGTTGCAGGACGAGGAGGTCGATCCGCCTGATCTGGCGATCCCCCTCCTCCTTCCTCCTCCTCCTCCTCCTCGTTCTCGCCGTCCTCGATCCTCCTCCTCTTTCCCTCCCTCCTCCATGTTCCGACTTGTCGGGCCTCCATCTCTTCCTCGTCGAATCTCCTGGACCCTTCTCCGCGTCGATCGAGCGCCCTCCATCCCCCTCGGATCCTCGACGCCGCATCCTCGCCCTCCTCTCCTCCCGCAGACGCGCGCTGCGGCGCCTGGTGCGTCATCGACGCCGGTTGGAGCTGCAGCGAAGTTGGAGGGCCCTAGGGAGCTGCAGGGCCGTCCAACTGAGCACGACGGATCCCGCCCCCTCGTTCCACTTAAAATGAGGGGGCCAGGAGAGGTGGAGGGGGGGCAGTATTTGCGCGCGCCCCAGCAGGACTACGAGTTTGGCTGGGACGAGGCAAGCCAGAACGGCTACAGGATGCTCAAGGGGGTTGACGTCAAACAGTACGCGGTGAGCATCGACGACTCCGATCCGAAGTTTCCGATCGCGAGGTGGATGGGGCGGCGAGCCCACTTCGCACATACATACATACATACATACATACAAACATACATACATACATGCATACACCCATACATGCATATATACATACACGCATGCATGCATGCATGCATACGCACATACGCACGCACACTAATACAGACACACGTACATACATACATACATGCATGCATGCATGCAGGCATACATGCATATCTGCACATATACCCGTCCAATTCTATCGAGCCCTCCCAGAAATCAAGGCAGCCCCCCGCGCGGCCAGGTGGCCAGACGGCATGCAGAAGCCGTGCGACATGATATTTTTGCGGGGGCGGCCGATCGGGCGGTCGGTGCACGGCGAGAGGGCTGCAAAAGGCCGTCGACGACGACGATCAACTGTACGTATTGGCTGCTACTACTAGTACCGACTACTACCGACTGCTACTACTACTCCTACTACTACTACTACTACTACTACTACTACTACTACTACTACTACTATACTATAACTACCTACTACTGCGACTACTACCACCACTACGACTACGACTACGACTACTACAACTACTACTACTACTACTACTGCTGCTGCTACTACTACTACTACTACTACTAATTCGACTACTACCTACTACTACTAGTAGTAGTACTACTACTACTACTGCTACTACTACTACTACTACGACTACTACTACTACTACGACTACTACTACTACTGATACTACTACTACTACTACTACTACTACTACTACTGCCACTACTACTACTACTACTACTACTACTACTACGACTACTACTACTACTTGGGCTACTACTACTACTACTACTACTACTACGACTACTACTACTACTACTACTACTACTACTACTACTACTACTACTATATTACGACTTCTATTGCTACTACTATACTGCTACTACTACTACGACTACTTGTCATGATCTATGCGTCCATTTCTAGATCAGGGCGTGCATCATCGACTAGGGTGCATAAGTATGCACTCCTGTCGATGATTTTCTGTTCAGCGCCCCGCTAGAGGCGAGAACGTGCATTGGCGCTGCCCCGACCAGCCCATGATCAAGATCCAGCGGCGCGACGAGCGCGGCGACGACCTGCTGCAGCTGAAGGACATGCGCCCGACCGTCGAGAAGAAGCAGGCGGGGGGCCCAGGGAGGAAGGAAGGGGAAGGAACGAGGGAGGAGGCGGAAGAGGAGGATTGAGGACGGCGCAGGCGCAGGAGGAACTCCAAGCTCCTCCTCCAGCTCCTCCTCCACCTGCGAGGTGGTGCAGGTCAATGTTGCGTGGTTCGAGTGTTTCCAGACAGCGCTCGACTACCTCTCGTCGCTGGGCGAGAAGTACTACGCTGAAGGTGGGGGGGTGCTCGCCATACCCATTTTTCTCCTCCTGTCCCTCCTCCCCGTCCTCCTCCTCCTCCTGTGATCCTCCTCCTCCTCCTCCTCTTCCTCTTCCTCGTCTTGCTCCATCCTGCTCATCCTCATTCTTCTCCTTGCTCCTCCTCATCCTCCTCCTCCTCCCCCCCCCCGCCACTCCTCCTCATCTTACTTATCCTCCGTCCAAGATGGCCGCTCCGGCCAGGCTTGACCAAGATGCAGTGCGAGGAGATCAAGGCGGCAGACATGAAGAAGATCAAGGAAAAAGCTGCCGCGCGCAGGACAGGCATCCACGCGCGTACACGCCTGTTTCCCTCCATCTCCTAGCTTCGCCATGTTTTTTTGTTTCGCGTCTCTTGCCCCCCGCGCCCCGTGCCGTTGTTCACGGGATGTAGCTGTCTCCCCCCGTCGCCCTGCTCCTCCTCCTCCTCCTTTTCTTTCTCCTCTGCTTCTTCCCCCCCATCCTCCTCCACCTCCTCCTCGCCCTCTCTTCCTCCTCATCCCCCCCCCTCCTCATCCCCCCTTTCGCCTCCCCATCGGCCCCCGACGACGGGGGGCAGGCGGCGCCCCCCCCTGCCCCCGACCAGTAAGCGCCCAGCCGCCGCAGCAGGCGCGGTGAAACGGCCAGCTGCAGCACAAGCAGCAGCGCCAGCGCAGGCAGCAGCACCGGCGGCAGCAGCGCCAGCAGCAGCAGCAGCACCACCAGCAGCACCACCAGCAGCAACGCCAGCAACAGCAGCAGCAGCAGC